AAAATTTGGAAAGTGGCGGAAATGAGAAACCCAGAGCATTGTTTCGATTGTGGGATGGAAGACAAAATTTATAAGTAAATGGCTCCTGTTGATGGAATGTATGAAAAATAGATATACTATGTATATTGATTAATATGATAGTATCCCTGTTTGGTAAGAGCATACTGTCAGAACAGTATGGATTTTATTGACATTGAGTATATGTGAGAGAGAGTGTGAGAGGGATGTAAATGCGGTACATTTCTTGCAGAAAGGGAATAAAACAATTGATAAGCATTTAGCAAAAGAAGGAGTGAGTTTATAATTCTGAATATTTTTCATATTATGTACATCACATTTCTGAGTCTAGAGTTTAAGAATGAATCAGTGTCCAGACACTTTATTTTGGCATTTCATTCAGCAAATCACACATGCAGAGCTCTTCAAGGCTATACATACATTAACACAACAGTGGTTATGATTAATAAAGGGGTATCCAGTTGTAACTTTTGGGGGGTTAAGGAACCAGTCAGTTTCATAATAGAATTATGCCCTGCAAGATTTAATACCACACAATTGTGTTTTTCCTTTGAACTTCACTCTTTGATATCATTTTTAAATCCTTAAACTCGCCTTAACAGCAGATGAAATGGGTGGTTTGAAATGATACATTTAATGAGCTAACATTAGCAAGCAGGCAACAATGGGCAAGGTTTACCGGTATTTTTCTTTTGGAAGAGATTGGTGTCAGCTGATACTATTTTTTACCCCACTAAGCAGTCATGCTTCCTTAATTGGGAAGGTAAACTATTTAACTTAAGAGAAAAATCTCCCCTCTGGTATTCTTTTCCGTAGACTGGACATTCTGTGGTTGGACTGAGGACTATCATCTTCAGAGTGCACTTATGTGTAACTCCCCGATTCATATAAAATGATTACCTAAGATAGCGATTGGGTGCCTGTGGCGAGGAATCTACTGTACTGAGTCTACTGACAGGGCCTGAGTTGAAGAGTGCTGCCCACCCTGCCCATGGCTGCCAACTGCTATCAGCACTGGCAATGAGACCATGTCCACCACAACACCTGAGGGCAGCAGGGCAGGTAAGGTGGCACAAGACGGATTGCATGGCACACACTGCTCTATGAGACTCTTAATCCCTTGGTCATGGGGTTGGGCAAAAGATTCCCGCACTGCAGAGGGTTGGGCTACATTTCTGTGAAGTCATTTTGAATCATTTAGAAATACTGCAGACTAAAACAGAGCCCTATCGTTCATCATCTGATTGTCTCCGTTTTTGTGTCCTGCTTTCCTAAAGGCAGCGTGCTATGTTTAAAAGTCATTAAATCTAATTCGGAAGGCTCAGAAAGTCATACCTGGGACTTCTAATTTTGGATACTGCATTATTAAATGTGATTATGGCTTTGCTTCTACATGAAGCCTGCTTAATTGCCAATTTCATGAATTAATTCTCTGTTTGTGATTTAATACCTCTATCCTTTTGATTTAGTTAACAGCATGGACTAAGCACCGGGCTAGTGCTGCAGGCAGTGTGCAAGAGACTGCTGCCATCTTCTGTTCAAAGTTGGCAAGTGACAGCAACCATCCTTGGAATAAACCTCAATTATACCAAGTCAAGGCATGCGCATCATGCGTGCGCACCCACCCAACAAGTTTATGTAAAAATGTCTTTCCCTCTAACATTCTAGGCTTTGCTGATAGAGAAAATATATGTCAAAATGGGCTGAATAACTTAAGCACCTACTCACACATTATACTGCCCAGATTAAGCATAACATGCATGAGACGAAAATGGCAGAAAGTCACACATAAGAACCAGCCTTTGGCCTGGAACCTAATAGTTGTGTACCATGATGGCTTTGCAGTAGTGCAGGTGTGGGGAACCTTTGGCCCTTTGAAAGTGGCTTTGATTTGTAGGTCTGACTTATATTTAAAAGGAGGAGTTGCTGAACTACAACTTCCATCAGCCCCAGCAAGCTTGGCTGGTGGTCAGGGATGGCGGGATCTGAAGTTCAACAACATCTGCAGGGCCAAAGACCCCCACACTTTCTGCTCATACAAGGCAGGGCATCCCGTTAGAACTGATTCCTCCCCACCAGCTTCAGCCATCTGTGCTGCATCTCCTTCATGCAGCGGCAGAGGGTGGCTCAGCCCTCAGCAGCAGTTTCCCAGGGGCACAGGGGCTGGCTGTGTATGTTGCGGGGAGAATTAGTGGAAACTGGTTGCACGAAGGAAGTGCTTTGTGCTAGCACAAAGCCATCAGTGGCCACGTCCCAAAGTAATAACGGCTGACTACTTTTTTTTAAGTAAAGCTAAATTTAGACAATCTTTATAGGGAACTTGTCATAGTCATGGAGACACAAGTATGGCATTAATTCAAAGCTCTGCCCTTCTGTAGCCCCAGCCAGCATAGTTCCAGAGTTATGTGACGTCACCCTCAGGAGCAGCTTTTTTTGGGGGGAGGGGTAATATGCTGCAGAAGAAGAGAGAAGAGAGGGAAACCCCACTGAACAACCATCAAGCCTTTGCTAGTTACACTAGAGCAGCCTACTTCTGGGCTCAGGTTGGTGTTATGGCCCGGTGTCAGAATATCTCAAGGATCACCCTTGCGCAAAAACTTTATTCTACTCCCAAGGCCTTTGCCTGGGTCCCTCAGCCATCAAATTAACCATAAACATTACTCAAATTAGTTGTGGAGGCAGCCAACATACGGAACAGTCTTCAAAGAGAGGTACAGCTGGCCTTTGTTTAGACAAGCAGCAACCATTTTCCTTTCAACAGGCTTTTCAGATTACTTCTTCTTACTCATCTGTTAGATTGTCACTGTTGATGCTTTTAAACACTTTTCACATTTGTTAAAACTACCAATTTGTACTTTGTTTTATTGTGCCTCTATAAGCTGCCTTGAAAAATTCATTTAGTTTAAGCAAGTTCAGGGCAAGAGCTTCCAGAGAAACTGCCAGCCATCATAATCATCTTCTTCTACTACTACTATGCAAATTCAACAGAGCACTATTTCAATATGAAACCAGATTAAAAACAGCAATAAAAAGGATTTAATCAGGTGCTGAAAGGTTATTGATTTCAGACCCAGCTGTGCCTACCTGAGGAAAATCCCCTTCAACTGGGCTCACCAACAGCTTGGAATGTGGAGAGTTAAATTAGCTGTAGAAATACAAAGATGGCAGCTGCCTGGATATTTCAATGGGAAATTTTAGGTTACTTGTAAGCAACCCTGGATTTGTATACTGAAAGGTGGGTCTGAAATAGTTGTGACAGAATAAACAAATATCCTTAACTGGTCTGCAACTTTTTTTTTTAATAGTCTTCATTTTTCCTCGATGAGTGAACTGTTGAAATATACTGAGAATAAGGGCTTCTGCAGACATATCTTAATGTTTAAAAAAGCTCATGTGGGTAAAAGCTAACCTTGAGGTGTCCTCATGATGGTCCCAAGCTGTTCAGAGGGAACCCACGGCCTTCCAGATGTTGCTCACCTACAATCCCAGTGGTCCTTAATAACAGGTGAGCTGCTGGGGTCTTGCAACATCTGAAAGGTCAGGGGTTGCTCACAGCTATCCTAGAGGTAGGTATGAGGGAGAAATTAATTCCATTCATTTTGTACATCGGCCTACTTTATTAACTTCTTGAACCAAAATACAGCTATCCTTCAAAATTTGCACTTCTCCAAATTTTGTGATGCGGTTTTCCAGTGAAAATAATAAACAAATGTTATGCAAAACTGCATACAAAACCCATCTGCTACTGAACCAGTTTCAAGGTCCTGAATGACTAAGCAAAAGGGTGGGTGCATGGAGGGCAAGTTGTAAGCAACCACAGTTTGTGACATTGCACATTGTTACAGATCAGGGACACGTCTGTTGAGCCATGATTCAATTTCCCAGATTTGTGGAGTTTGAGCTAACATGATACCCTTAACTTTGGTCACAAATAAGTTTTTTTGGGTTTTTTTGAATCAATGCATTTACCAGGTTTTGAAAAAGGAGACACAATTACAGTGCTGGCATCCCCAACGTCTCCCAAAGAACCTGACTCTGCCTTCTTGCAAATTAGGAAGATAGATAGATAGATGGATAGATAGATAGATAGATAGATAGATAGATATGCTATGTTGTACTTGAGGCAAAAGAGTAACAATAAAATCAAGAAACTGACTTGCTGATGTCAAGGTCAAGCAAGAAAATTGCCAGAGTTATATGAGACATTTCACTGTAAAATCTTAACAATTGATATTGATTGCATTAAGTCTATATAACAAGCAGAATTCACTTGCTGTACTTCCCTCTGTAATACACAGCTCTTTGTGACACTATTAAAAGGATGGCTGTGAAAATGGATGCAGATGATCACCACTGAATGACAATTCTTAGCTTGCTTTCTGGTAGCTTCATGGGCACTAAGATTGTATAATAACTCTTCACCAATGCTTGAAAAATTCATTTTAAAAAGGAGCAAGCTCTAGCTCACGTTAACCCTGTACCAAAAGAAGCTAGTTCAAGCTAATGTTCATACTCTTACAAACTAGTTCAAGTTCCTACAGCTGAACTTTTTTAGCTTATAAAGCTCATCCTTGGTGATAAATAAATAAATCAGTTTTCAGAACATTATAATAGGGCTGCCATACATCTGAATTTCTCCTGACATTACGGGATTTCAAAGGCGGAATTGATGTCCGGGGGACATCAACTCAATAACTTTTGGGTTTTCCTAAAAGAAGCTTAACAATTTTGGTGGTTTCCTCAAAACTACCTGGTATTTACTTTTTGAAATATGGGCTCTGCTACCACTTGTTGGTTTGCAAGCCCCCTCCATAGAGGCTGGCCCCTCTCACTGTCCTCGGAGCTTGCATACCAGTAACCTCCTCTGGCTGACATCCAGACAGACCAGGGAGATTTTGATAGGCGACATTTTCCCAAGCGTGGGTAAATGCACACTCCCTCCTCCTGCTTCCTCCCTAGCAGGGAAAAGGAGACAGTCAGAAACGTTTATCTACATTCTTTTATTTCTGACATTACAGCACTACAGAAAAACACGTCCTTTCAGTTCAGTTCTTCCAGCACGTCTAACAAACTTCCTGTACATGCGCACACGGAAGGTTTCAAATTACACTCTTCACAGAGACTTTTCCAGCCTGTGAACTTCCTGGGAAATTCTTCTTTCCCACAGATAGGCACATCATGTGATGTCAACAATCTGGCTGTCTGCAGCTGCGATGTTTCCATATACTGACAAACCCTACATTACAAGCTGTGTTGAAGTATAGGGTCTAAAGGTAAAACAGGGGCCACACACAAGTAATGTACAGCAGAATGCAATGTAAAGCAGAATGTACAAGTAATGGAAAACAGAACCTTCTCTCATAATTGATATTTCCATACTAGAATAGGCTTACCCTATTTAATTTATGCCTCCCACACAGCTATTAAAGCCACAAGGCATCATCTGCTTTGTTCCTGTACTTGTACTTTTGCCTGCAAGCTGCACCTGTTGGGAGAAAGCAAATCATTTTATTATGGAAGATGCAGGATATGCCTCACATTCCTTCCCTCTGCTTGCTTAGCAACAGCAGTAGTTCTGGATCTGCCAAGTCAGTCTTAGAATGCTGCCTCCACATTTTGCTTTCTAACTTTCATAGATGTCCAACTAACTTGACTGGCTTGAAGAGATTTAAGTGAGGAGGGAATCCTCATAGTGGTCTTCAAATATCTGAAGGGCTATCACACAAAACATGGAGCAGTCTTGTTCTCTGTTGCTCCAGAGGACATATCTAGAACCAATGGTTTAAAAGATGGCAGCTGAACATTAGAAGTTTCCCAATGCTAAGAGCCATTCAGTAATGGAGGGGAGTTGATGGGCTCTCATTTGCTGCAAGTATTTAAGAAGAGGCTAGATTACCATCTGTCAGGGATGCTGTCATTGCATCCTGCAATGCAGATCGTGCACTGAGCTGTGGACTGGATTATATGAATTCCGAAGTCCTTTCTAACTCTATGGTTCTATGAAAGGTGGAGACTAATCAAAATAAATTAAAACACAATCACCCTACACTTGGAGGGGTAAGGTTTGAATTATATGCACAATAATATATTACATCAGCATATGGATTTCAGGTGTGCCCAGGCATGATTTAGTTCGGCAAATTTATATCCCACCTTTCAACCAGTTTGTAACTACAGGCAACTCTTAATCTACAAGCGTTCTATATGTGCACAACTGCACATACACACATCACATCGAATCTGAAAGTGACATCACACAAAGGGACAGAATGGGGCAGTACAGGAGCGGAATGGGATGTTTGCAGGCTTCTTCAATGGTGTTTCAAATGTATGTGATTTCACTTAAATGAGTGGTGCCTTAGAATGTAACGCCCATGTAAATTGGGAGTTGCCTGTATTACAAAGTACAGTGGTACCTTGGGTTACAGACACTTCAGGTTACAGACTCCGCTAACCCAGAAATAGTACCTTGGGTTAAGAACTTTGTTTCAGGATGAGAACAGAAATCGCACTGTGGCGGCGCAGCGGCAGCGGGAGGTCCCATTAGCTACAGTGGTACCTCAGGTTAAGAACAGTTTCAGGTTAAGAGCAGACCTCCAGAACAAATTAAGTTCTTAACCCGAGGTACCACTGTAATATAAGAACACAGGGATGTGCTCCTGCTCGTGTTACCCATCACCCCACTGCTAATTCCCTTCCCTTCCCTTTACATTTTACCCCCTTCCTCAAAAAAAAAAATCAGGACATACCCACCCCTGGAAGATTGCCAATTTACCCATGAGGAAAAGCAGCTCTGAGACTGAAAGAAGCTCCACATTCTTGGTTTAAACAAAGCAGAGGAGCATAAAAAGGAATTGTGTTTTGTTTAAAAGTGGAAGCAAAACCTTATAATCTCTTTACAGCCACACAAGGTGCCTTAATTCACATGGCATGAAACCATGTTTTTTCTATGTCTGAACTACGTCACTGTATGAGTAAGCCCTTATAAGCAAGGATTTCAGAAACTTCCTAAGAAACAGATAGTTTTATGACCCAAAGCTTAACCACAGTAACAAATTATGTTTGTTTCTCCAAGTTAAGAATGAGACTCAGGAAAGTGAGTTTTTAGGAGTTTTATTCCAATCCAGTAATATTTGCTGCTTTAATATATTATATAAACTGTATAAATAATGTTATTTCCAGAGTTCAGCTTTAGTAGTACTAAATGAATCAATCAGTATGCATCAATTCTACAATGCCAAAATTTTACAAAAATGAAGACCTCCTTAGAAAGGGTAGTGGTTTTTATTGCATTAGAAAACACTGTACTATGAAAGATATAAAATCAATTGTAATTAATGGAGAGTCGTTTTTTACAATCTTGATGCTGTTTTGTTGTTAGAACACCTAACAATTTGCCCAAAATATTTTAAACTACTTTTGACATGCCTTGATGCAAATATATTACAAGTTCAAAACTGAATGTTCTTGGCTGAAACTAAAAAAAAATACACATTTTACCTGAGAGTCTTGTATATTAAAATTGCCATTGAAGTTCATTCCAATATTTGCAAGTTGATGTTTTAGCCGTTCAGTGTTTGCACACAACCTGAGGCATCACTGTACAAACTTTCCTAGAGGTAGCTGATTAGGTATTAAACCACCTCCTTTTTTCAATTAGGTATTAGAAACTGAGCATATTTAACAATTCCTATAAAAATGTGAACTGAACCTGGAGCTTCAATTCACAGACCATGAGTGGTATTCAATTAAGTTTTACTTAACATAGACCCGAAGAAATTAGCAAACATGACTATGTTAGCTCCATTAATTTCAACAAATTGACAGAGAGTAAAACTAGTTGAATACCACTCAGTAAATTTATTAACCAACAGCAAGAATGCAGCGCAAGCTCTGATGCACTGCTCTACTGGACAATAATCCAGTCTTCCAGACTCTTTGTTAGTTGGCTTTTGAGAGACAGAGACTTAAGCCAGACTGTCCCTGTCAACCTCAACACTAGCCAGCCCATAGAAAATCCAGTTCCCTACAGATACAATTTAGTTTACAGTATTGACACTTAGCTGTATTTCAAAAGCAATTGTGTCAATATTACATCCTTTCAAAACAGAGCTACTTCTTTAAAGTATAATTTTTACATTATAAGCCTAAACAAATTTGGCACTGCTAACTGATTTGTCAGAAAGAAACAGGGTGGATCAAGAAGGAAGTTGAAGCATATGACTCCTAGGACAGAAGTTATGTGCACTTTTCAAGAGTAAGTGCCTTATTAAACGCACACAACACCCAAAATGCTAGAATCCTTCCCTAAAATTATCACAATGGAATTGAGCATACACAAAAGAAAACAAATGAACTTATAGAGGAACTTCCACAATGAAGTCAAAAGTCTGTAAGCTGTGTAAATCATAATGCTAATTCGTGACAAGTATTTATGAATACCACTGCAGCTTTGAATGATCTTGAAATCATTCTGTGAGGTAGTGTAGTTTTTGTAATACATGCTGGTTATTAAAAGTACTGTTCAGATTATGTATTTGGCCAAATGTTCCCCATGTATGTTCGCATTATATTTTATAAAATGCAATTTTACTTTCCTAGAGGCTAAAGTCAACACTAACTTAACCAATATCTTAGCATGTTAAGAAATAGCAGATCTACTATGCTAAAATCTTGCAAAGCAGTTATAGAAAGATGATCATATTCCAAACATAGGTATAAAAACAGATGCCTGTTTTGAGGTAGGAAATGAAGAATTCCATTGGCTTTTGCATTTGTAAACCAGCAAAATATTTGAGGTTCTGTAGATAAAGCTTCTGTTATTAAGAGCAATTACAGATTTTATATGGATTTTCTGTAATTAATACAATGCAGAGAAGCCTACCATAAAATTCTCTATTTGCTTATTTTTAATAGTTAGAACTATTGAAGAATCGAAGTGATTCTATTTTTATAAGTGAAGAACAAGACAATGAAAACTGAATATAAATTAACTATCCATTTAAGAGAATAGTTTTTAAATACATCCGAACTGGTCCCACTATTAATAGTAAAAGCTGAAATCCTTCTAGAATACTTGATCATTTTAATTCTCCTTATAACCACTTATCAAATCCCAAGCAAGAAGCACAAATGTTATGTCAAGCAGAACCTCAAGTATTGGGGGCAGTATCCAACAATGCCTAAGGACTTTTGCCCGAGGGATAAAATGGAATTTCCTCTCCTGTCCCCTCCAGTCCCCCAAGGAGATTTGGTGGGTGTTTGGGGGAGGAAAGGAAACAAGAGGCCCACTATGTCAGCAGAACCCCCCTGTCGCAGCACTGGGTTCCACCCTTAGAGAGCATGGAAGGACAACATGCCAAGAATGGGGAAAGCCTCTAATGAAATGACCCACTATTCCCAAAGATGTGTCACCAGATGCATTTATTCATTTGAAACACATCTAGGCTGGATTGTTGAGGGAATTTTTAAGAAGGCAAATTTTTCCAGTTATTTTGATTCATATGGCACTGGCAGCCTAAAGCCTCTAAACTGCACAACAGCTCCTTCACATGTCAGAAAGAGAAGCCCATAATTACTTTTAGGGTTCACAGAGAATGGTGGATAGTTAAGCATAAGCAGATGCACACTATTCCTCCTAAGCAACCAATCTTTTAACCCTGATAGTACGAGTGTGACAAAAATACGGTTTTTCTGTAGTGCATTTATCAAGTCATTCAGTGATGAAAACTGGCAAGACCAATACTGTTCTGCACACCTCTTTGGACACAATGTTTTCTCAGATATTATAACAGGAACTGGACAATTTTTTGTGCTTGATCATATCTGTATCACATGCTCCTTTTATATTTTGGTAACTGGAACTCTAATCATTTGTTGATGCAACAGAAAGACCTGCAGATAATTCTACACACAGTGGCGTTGCAGACATAACATCAGCTGGTGCTGGTTGTTCCTTCTCTGGGATCAAAAACGAAAGTGGACAATCAGAGGCAGAATATTTTGCAAGAATCTGTATTTGCTCATGACTCAGTGCTGCTTCCTTGCATACTTGTTGGCAAAGTCCTGTCAGATTCTGCTTTGTCTCAACCAGTGTTGACAAAATTTGATCTTTCTCCTTCAGCAAGTTCTCTTTTTCATTTTGCTACAGAAAAACAAAAGAGTTATAAGTTTGGTACTTTGCTCTGAAATGCAGTATGCTTTATTCTGAAATGCACTGTGCAGCTTTATTTTACTTTTTAAATCAAAGTTAAATTGTACTTCCAGGTATGTGGATTAGTTTAGAAAAAAACAATAATAGATGACACTAGATGGCTTGATGTGTACTCATTTGCAAAAATTAAAATGAAATGTAACACAAGTTCAAGAACAGTGTTAAAACAATACTAATAGCTACTCCCATACATACAAGTACTGAGTTCAATGTGGTTCCAAAGGAGGTGGGAATATGATCACAGCTCAAAAGTAAAGCCAGAATGTTACTTATGTGCAGCTTTAATTCAAGTGGTCTAATTCAGCAATCTAATTGGCTATATTTGTGAAAGGGTGATACACTGAACTTTCAATCCATTTAAAGGTAGCAGTGTAGATAACTGTAATCCCTTGGACAAAATGCAGCATGCTGAAGAGTGCTGTTCTGTCTGAAGATACCCATGTCTCTTAATGTTTCCTAGACTCTTGCTCCTTCACTTATGTAAATGATGGAATTTTCGGACATGATTAGTATCAGACCAAATACGGTAATCTGTGGACCACTTCACATAAGCAACTGGAGGAAGCACACCTTCACAAACACAACTAGGTAAACTAAGCAGGGAAATCTAATTTTAGCTACTGCATTTTATTTTAAAGACTTACAATAACATAGTCTACAAGCTTACAGCCCTATGTTAATGTGTTTGTACCAGAAAGGACGTGTTAGGCACTTTATTAGCAGCCATGTTTATGATGGTCCAACACAGAGCTATTAGGTGGGTGGAAATAATCCAGATTTCCCATAGCAGTAGGCTCTACAAAGATAGCTACATATACTTAGGGTTGAAGAAGCATACACAACAAGAAGTAGTGGTACAAAATAGTCAATCGACAGTCAAGTTTCAAAACTTGGGTACTCAGTTACTTACTAATGTTTCCAGCAGCTTCTCTCTTTAATAGCATAATTGTGTTCTAACAATCAGTTGTGTAAATGATATTTATAAAGTAATAGGGTAGCATATCGTTATGATTTTCACTTCTAAGATGTATGAATAAAAATGGGAAGAAATGCAACACTAGTTAGCCAGTGTGGATTAGAAGTGTCTTTTTGTCTCTGATAAAGTGTGTACTCTGGATGAAAGAGCCCTTGCTACAGTAAATGGCATCTTTACTACAAATGACTCAGGGACTCCTGGTTCTAGGCAGAATTACGAATCACCACTGCCTTGTAAAGCAATTTGTTTTGTTGGCATGACACCACATAACAAACACCAGGGTCAAATATGCACCTCAGATCCAACACACATTCAGAAACAGAAAGACAGCAGCACTAAAGAGATTTTCAGGACATTTTTCAAAATTCCCTCCATCAAGATACTTGCCGCCAGTAAGGTTATTATTATCCCCTACAATACCCTATAGAGATACCAGAAAAAAATGTAAAGTTTTTCAAGAAGTAAGAAAAGACTCATCAGGTTTACTGGGGAGGCAACAGGATGAGACCTTCTAACCCTTTTAAAAGACACACTTTGACTATCACAGAATTTCCCCCATCACTGATACAATTGCTATTGGTGAGGCAACATGACCTCAATCTCCCTAAAAGAAACACAACCTCCAGAGCAGTGGTTCTCAACCTGCAGGTCCCCAGATGTTGTTGGACTACAACTCCCATCATCCCTGAGCTCTGGCCTTGCTAGCTGGGGTGATGGGAGTTGTAGTTCAACAACATCTGGGGATCCACAGGTTGAGAAAGGCCGCTCCAGAGCCTGGAAAGAGAGAAAACACACAATCCTCCATACATTGCTACCATTATGTTCTTAAAGCAGCTCCCTGACACTGCTTAGCAGAAAGCAGTGTAGCAATGAACACGCAAAAACAGATGGTGAAGGTGGCTGTGGTACAGCTACTGCTCTGGCTGTAAATGAAGTAGGTGGCTAGCCTGACAGGAGGGAATCAATGCAGCAGCCTTATTGTGCTCAGCTTCTCCTTGCAGGTTGCCAGCTCATCTCTGGAATGCACAGTTCTGCACTGCCACCTCCGTGTACACAGCTTCTCCCTCCAGCTACTTACTGCCCATCAGACACTTTGCTATAGTTGCAGTTCAGGTGGGGGTAGAAAGAGAATGGGAGTCAGAAAGATCTCAGGCTGCTCAACAATACAGCTCTCTCTGAAAACTTACAACCATGATGAAAGGAATCTACAGGTGTGGCAAAAATGATCCAGGATTCTTTTGAAAATGTAGGTTTAAAAATGCTTTTCACACATACCAGTTTTTCTATTTCACACTCAAGGTTCTGTATGCAGTCTAGCTTTCGCTTACGACAGCGCTGTGCGGCAATTCTATTTTTACTTCGCCTTCTAATATCATGGATACAGTCCAGCTCTTCTGGCGTCAATTTGTGCATTTTTAGAAATGACTGAAAGTCATTTCTAGAAAGAGAAATTATCTTCTGTGGATTAAATGGCAGCTTTACCTGGAAAGTAAATATAGCTTTAGAAATTTGCACACTCTACTGTGTTTCAAAATGTGGAAACCCATGTCCTAGTGCAATCTTTTACGTGAATGGTTACAAGGCCAAAACACAGCAAAAACAATCTCAATACTTGCTTTCTAATTGATTGGTACATTAATAAAAGTTAAAATATATATCTAATCACCTTAAGAGTCACATTCAGAAAGAAACACAACTACTTTGTATGCTTATAGTGCTAATATTTAGAGCAGCACATGGAAAGGAATGGTATTTTAGCTAACTAAATCTGAAATAATGAGGAATTTCTGTATAAATGTCTGGCATTTGAAGTAGCAATCCTTAGCAAAAAGTGAGGAACACGAGCATTTAAACATGAAGTTAATTTAAACCTTTTCAGCAGGTCTGAATATTAGCCATTCTGAATACGGTATGTTAAGTATGAGAGGAATTTAAGAGGAGCAGGGTTCTTCAAAGATGAAGACCAAACACCTTGAAAATATTGATGTGGTCAAAACCTAGCTCCACTTTAGAAAGCCATACTGTGCATGATATGTGAACAATTAGAATGTATAGCCAATCTCCGGAATCAAGCTGTAGGGGTGGTTTGCTTGTCACCGTTCAATTCACTAAACTGAATACAGGGGAATTCAATAATCAGTTAAGAGAAAGTACGTGGGAGAACCACAGTGCTGTTCTAAGTAGAACCTAGGTTGGTCCAGTCTGTGGTTGGGAGGGTGATGATAAGAGATTGATCACATTATATCAAGAGCATGCCTGTGCAGAACAGGAGCTGTGCCTAGACACCTTTAGAGAAAGCATGCAAGAGTACTGGGCAGCCTGGAAGCCAAAAAGTTCAATGGTTCACATCCACCTGTGCAGACAGATGTTAGTAAGGCAGCCGCTGCACAATACAAAATGACCCGTATTTATATCCAGAGTAAGTGTGGCCTGTGCATGATCCCAAATTTTGAAAATGGAGTCTTTTGAGAAACCACCATGCAATCTGGTTGGGAATACGATCACAAATGCTATTTTGTGTGGCTTGTGGAAAGCAATTTACATTAGCTGCAATAAAATATCTAATTGTTCAACAAAAATATTTCAATAGAGGACAGAAATTATGCAAAACTGACATTTTCATACCAGAATCCAGTATCAATTGTACTGTGTTACAGTGCTTAAAGGTAAAGGACCCCTGACCATTAGGTCCAGTCGCGGACGACTCTGGGGTTGCGGCGCTCATCTTGCTTTACTGGCCAAGGGAGCCGGCGTACAGCTTCCGGGTCATGTGGCCAGCATGACTAAGCCGCTTCTGGCGAACCAGAGCAGCGCATGGAAACACTGTTTACCTTCCCGCCAAAGCGGTACTTATTTATCTACTTGCACTTCGTGCTTTTGAACTGCTAGGTTGGCAGGAGCAGGGACCGAACAACGGGAGCTCACCCCGTCGCAGGGATTTGAACCGCCAACCTTCTGATCAGCAAGCCCTAGGCAGTGACAATTCCGTTCTGGTGATTATTATCTTGGAACCAGTTATGGGGAAGTACCTTTAGTTGCAGGTATGCATGGTGGAAAACTAAGTCTAAAAATAAAAGTGTTTCTTCAATCCCAACAGCCATTTCATCTTTCAAAACCTAATATTCTTCTTAAGGCAGGTGTTGCAAGTGCAAAATTAGCACAATTACGCAACCCATTTCAACAGAATTTACTTCCTAAACAAATTCATTTACGATTGCAAACAAAGCTGTCATTATATGAAACGTTTGTTCGTTTTAAAGTGGGGAGGAAACTCTTAAGCTTTCTTTTAAACTTTCCAGTAATAAAGTGAAAGAGCTCTCTGAATTATAAAATGCAACTTTTAAGACAGAAAAGGGGATACTTTGTACATTCTCACCTCACATTCTTGTTCTCTGGCAGAACAGGATTCACTATCTCCTTCTGTATCAGTTTCGGATTCTTCTTCCAGGTTTATCACACAGGTGTAAGGGCACTGATCTGATTGCTGTTCTGGAACACAGTCTCCACTATTATTATCAGTGCTGTTTTCAGTTCCAAGATTACTGATGAAGGGGCAAGTGACGGAGCTCAAAGTTGTAAAAGTTCTTTGAGGGCCATGCTCAGGACTGTCACTGATCCTAATACCTAACCATGGGCACTCAGTTTTCTTTTCGGAACAGACCTGCTCTGTAAAGTCTTTCGATGATGCAGGAGACAAGCTGACTTGACACGCTGGATCTGTGCTGTAAACATCACTCCAAAATCCTTTTGCTAGCTGTTCTGCTATCTCTCTCTCCACACTGCTGCGATTGCTAGGCGAACTGCTGTTCACATTTTCTCTGTTGCACAAATGAGATTTCAAAGATGGGCCCTCAACGTTTTCATTCACTGATTTGCAACTTCCAGCTCTGGAAACAATGCCATTTTTTTCAGCTACCTCTGTATTGCTCTGCATACCACTCAAAGTCAAATTACAACATTGATCGTATGCATTTATGAAAGAGGCAGAATAAAGTCCATGAGTGGCAACAGAAAAATTGTGGGGGGCAAAAGCAGAATCCATCTTCTCCACAGAGCATTCAATACTTTGGAACAGAGGGGTTGTCTCTTTTATGAACTCTTCTTTCCCATCTTCTTCCATCTCTACCTGAGTATCTTCACATTTTGTGACTGGCTGCACAGCTGCACAGTCAAGAGATTTCTTTATAGCACCAGTAGTATTTGATTCAGTCTGATGAACGGATGCAATCTCTTTAATACTGGAGTTGGACTCCGCAATAGCGACTTTATCATTTCCTAAAGCTTTTTGGAACTTCCTGTATTTGGGATATAGGGACTCTAAACCAAAGACATGACTCCTTTCTGATACAGACTCACAGGTCTGACTGGCATTATCTTGCAGAATAGACATTTCCAAATTTTGTTCATTTTTGCAGGCATTCAACTGAGGAGTTTGAATGCGTTTATTTTGTAAAATGTCATCCACACCATCTATTTCTAGAGCCCCATCATCAGCATCTATTTTACGAAGCTCTTTCTGACAGCGCTGTTTACAACATTTTTGGGGGAGATATTCCCGCCGGCCGGATTTATGGTCCAGGAATTTGAATTTAAGAAACTGAAAGCAAGATTCCTCAATGTCATGAACTCCCAAAAACTCTGCACACTTGCAGACTTCAGCCACATTGTCTTTATCTAAAATAAGTTTGGAAGTGTATGCAAATTGAAGCAAAGGTTCGAATCCATTTAGTGTTACCTGTTGCAGGGAAGAAGAGCAAAATGATGCATGTTAAATTTCTAACCTGCAAAAGACAAAAATGACACTTGTATGAAAATTTAGCAATGTGAACCATTAACAAGTTATGATTAAAACTGCTTATAAATAACCACGCTTATTTTTGGCTTGCTTACTCTCAGCCTCATTGCTAGACAAACAAATGCTACAATGTACACTAGAAAATATAAGAAGAGAATCTAGGATAGAAAGCAGAGGAAGATGGAAAGGAATTGCTGAAACAACTAATAGAAGTGGAATACAAAAAGGGAGGTGTGAGGAGGTCATGGAAACAAGTGAATGAAAGATTGAAACTATTTGATGTGTTTTAAATTGCTTTTGTTTTTGTTTTTAGTTTAAATTGTTTTTGTTAGTTTAGTGTTAGGTATTGTTTTTGTATTGTATTGTTTATTTTCTTTTTTTATGTAATGTCTAATTTGTTGGAAAGTAATAAATATTATTTTTTTAAAAAAAGAAAATATAAGAAGAGAATCAATCAAAACTTTCAATAAAAGAACAAATGCATATTTGGCAGGACACTTTGACTATACAGAATTTTATTACAAATAACGTTTTGTAGAACTGCTATAAATTCTGTATAGGTACATTTGTTACATGGTGGCTCAACACCTAAAGTTATTTGCGGCTACAAAGGAATAGTAATCAGATTGCATTTTATTTTTCACTTCTTACAGCTTTTTATAGAAGTATTTTCACTCTTAAAGTACCTCGGCACAATCTGTCCTGAAAATCCATTTTTATACATAGGGTATTCCAACTTATCCTATGCAATGTTATACTAAAATGCTTCTGAAAGAGCAATGAATCTTGTAACTTCAGCCAAACACATAGTATATGCATGCACGTGCAAAGGAAAAGAATAAAGCAGGTATGAAGAGAGTGAAGAATGAAGTAATGAGGAGAGGTACTAGAGATTGATGTTACCAGACTAATGAAAATAGTTGAAGGATTGGAAGCTGAAGACTAGAAGTCTAAGCATGCAAAACTGGTAACCTGGAACACACATATATTACACAGATGTTTCATTGGGTTTTGTGAAAATATCAATACATTACGTGGAATGCAAACATGGTGGTAAAGTTGCAGTATAAAGGAAAGAAACATGCTCAAAGGGGCTGAAATAAGGAACTCATTCTACGTGCAGCCATTGCTGCTCTAAGATCTGAGGGGGAAAGAATGGAGGAGGTCTGTGATGGCCATGTACCACTATGTTTCAGTGCCCATTAGGAGTAGGTATTTAGTACTCACATTCTTTGGAAACTAACTGAGTAACAAAAGTGGGACTATGGAGGAGTGTGTGTGTGTTTGTGTGTATTCCACTTTTGAGTCAATGCCAACACATCACATTTCCTCCATGAAAGGAAACCCTGGAATTGTTCAGCCAAAATGCAAAACTGATATTAAAACATGCAAAATTTAATAATAATTATTGAAAAGCAGATGGATAATCTATTTTTGTTTCACACATCTTTGCTGCAAAAAGGATATGGATCTTGAAATAGATTTCACTTCAGCAATATGTACCTTTAGACCAAGCCCTAAATTAATTCAATGCATTCTGTTAATATTTTAAAGTAAATTCATTTGGAATATAATGGATTTGTAAAACTACAGATATTGATCCCTATGGTGTTTTTTCCTAGTGCTATTACTAAGCTATCTCTGCTGTATGAAGGATGTTTTTATTACAGAAAAGCATGGACAATTTCTAGGAGTTGGAGATGCCACAGCGATGATTTATAGGGTACCACAAGCATTGTGACACTGGTGGCTTGACTGACGCACACCCACTACTTTGCCTGGATTATACTTCTTGGGGAGAATAGTGGCTAAACTGTACATGAACACATAATCCAAATCTCGTACAGTGGTACCTCTGGTTACGAACTTAATTAGTTCTGGAGGCCCGTTCTTAACCTGAAACCGTTCTTAACCTGAGATACCACTTTAGCTAATGGGGCCTGCTGTTGCCGCCGCACGATTTCTGTTCTCATCCTGGGGCAAAGTTCTTAACCCGAGGTACTACTTCCAGGTTAGCGGAGTCTGTAACCCGAAGTGTTTGTAAGCAGAGGTACCACTGTATTAGTTTTTAGGCTCCTAGAGTATTCAAAAAAAGAAGTTAGCTGTAGAACAGGACACTACACCAGGATGCAACACACTTAAGACTGTTCAAGACACAAGCAAACGATGGCTTACCATCTATTACATTTGTTGTAGGAATTCTATATACTTTTTTTCCCCTTTTACGGAAAGAGAAAAATTTACATTGAGGAGCTACAGAAATGGAAATTCAAGTGGAAGAAAATAGAGGAAGTGCATGTAGAAGGACTGCATAGCAAGAGAAGTTCTTTTTGTCAGTTTCAGAATTAATGTAATTGTGGTTATTCTAGAGAACTGTTTACATGGTTGTCTGGGAATCATGAAGGTTTCTGTTTAGCTCTTCCTTATAAACTCAGAACCTTTCAACATGAGTGAGCCTGTATTTGTATCTTTAGTAGGAAAAGAAACTGTCAATATTGTGAGAAAACAGATGTATCAAACACCCCTGAAATAAGGAGTGGCTGATGCAATTATCTGCAGATTTACACTTGATATAAACTGAAGGGGATAATCTAGTTAACCATGAGCATGAAAATATGCACATGAAGCTCTTTGAGTCCTCCAAACTTCTCTGCATGTGGAGGAAGAAATTAGTGAGGGAAAGATGTGGCAGGAGATTGGATCATCCTCTATTTTATGTCATAAAGGGCACAAAGTATTCATAGACTTTATAATCTTGGAATAATAAACAAGCACCACATTAAAACATATCTGTTCTCCCAGGCATTTGACAGAATGTGACATGTTGGTTAGTAGTCTGTCTGCTTGCAAGTTAGTGTACTGTTTTATTGAAATGTATCTTATAATCTATTTTGTGTTTTTACCTTGTACTTTTACGATGTGAACCTCCCTGAGATGTACAGATGGAGGCCAGTATACAAAATTAATTAATTAACTTCAATAATAATGATGTTCTTCATGTCATTGCTTTTTGACGTTTAACCTTCTTGTAAGTTGCTTAAGAGAATTTCTGTAATAGGCAACTACTAAGTCAAATCAATAATACTAATACAGAAGGTTTTCTGCCCTCCCAGAAAATCATTCTATGGCTGCTTGACATAGTAATTCTAAACATCACTTGTATGCTTTCACTAACTGTAATATCTACACCACCTTGAGCAGGAACAACATCTTTTAACATGTGAGTAGATAGAATAGCATACATAGGAAGTGAGCTAGCAGCAGCAGCAGAACTTACCTCTTCAGGTAAAATAATAAGATCAGGTTCCAACTGACCCGCAATTCTTGAACGGAAGTAATTGCTGCAGGCTGCAAGCACAGAGCGATGGGCCCGAAATCGCTGGTCTTCCACTAAGATGGTAACATCACAAAAAAGGTCTTGCTTTCTCTGTTCGTCAAGACTAAGCAGAACATTGGCACTGTGTACTGAAGATTCATATGCAAAAACCACACTGTTCCTTTCACTTAAAGACATTCTGTATCACGTCTGTGGATGAAGATCTCAGAGGGAACATGCTTCTATTCTTCACACCTGAGATAAAGGAAAAGTTTTTTTACAGAATGCTCAATAATACAAAACACCATAAAGTTAAAGGAATCTAAACCAAGAAAAAACATTGCAGAAGATATGTCACCACTAAACAAAACTGTCAAATATTAATAGATGCATTTTATAACCTGCATATGTGGCCTAATCAGGTGAACAACATAAAATTTGTTGTTGTTTAGTCGTGTCCAACTCTTCATGACCCCATGGACCAGAGCACGCCAGGCACTCCTGTCTTCCACTGCCTCCCGCAAGCATAAATTTAATTTGTTTTGAATTTATTTTCACTTTTCACGATTTTATTGTTTGGTTTTATATTTTCATTTTGTTGTAAACCAGTGTGATATATGATAAAACAGTAAATAAATATTGTTACGATTTTAAAAATCCAACTGAAAGGCCTTTGCCAGGAGGCCTGCCTGGCTCCCTGCTTACGATCATTTTCATCCTCTAAAAAGTTAGGATAGTTTAGATTACCCAGTGTGTTGATTTGTGGTCTGAGGCAAAGATGTATCACTATTCAAGTACATGTATGCTGTATATCTGTTCTATTCTGTTGTTTCAATGCTTTTATTTATTTTTGTTGTGACCAATAACTGACACATATATGGTGGTAGTAGTAGTAGTTCTATTTTAAATGTTAAGATCAAGTTGAGTATTGTTGGGTTTTTTAAATCACCACACACATAAAAGCCAAACACAAAACCACAACCATCTAAGGTAGTTGTAACTGTGTACAAAGCTAACAATGTACATAGGAAATTTGCTACGTAGACTGAAAAAAGGAAGTTTCAAACCACTGAAGATGTAGATCACAGTTCATCTACCCACACCCTAAGCAGAACTTTCATTTGGTATATAACAGAAGTTGCATAAATTTAATGCAAAAATGCTTCTAATTACTAGCTCCCTTCAATTTTCTGTTTAATGAAAATGTTAATTTAAAAAGTATCACAACATAACACTTTTCAGCCCATGTTTTCTTTGACAGAAGATTCTTTCACCAACTCTGCCTGATAACTGGAGACAGAAGGCTGAAACTCACTCAAAAGCTGGTAAACTAGCTGCATATCTTTCTAACTGCAGGACTATGTTACTGTAAAATGTTCTACATAAGATTCATAAACTTCATCTGGTGCAAAATATAGCAGCTAATCTCTTGACAGACTTGGGTTTTCAATGGCATCGTACACCAGTGCCTTAGCATCTGTGATGGCTTCTTGTTTATGGACACTGGATAAAGTTTGTAAAATCCAAGCTGTTTACCAACTACCTAATAAATGGATTGACCAACTGTAGCTCTTGAATCACTGTAAGGCCAAGCCATTCCCTCCACTGGATGGCAATATTAATATCAGCTCTTTTAAGCCTAATTATGAAAAACAGCAAGCTATTTCTTATCACCTGTCTCCATCAAAATGTGCTCAGTTTACAAGACTGCATAAGGAGTGGGGCAGAACTTCACATTGAAGGAGTCATCATACCTGAATTTTTTGTCAAGCTGAGTCATTTCTTCCTTGTGTATTTCTCTAGCTAAATACATTCTGCTTATGCAGGGTAAATTGTGCAACCGCATTGCCTGAGCGAGTCTGTACAAATGTAACTTGAACTTTAACAAACAGGTCTGTTGAGGAAGCAAACAGAATGAATGCTCTTTTAAATTTATGGGCTCCAATATTAAAAATGGTGTAGGATACAGAAGCTGGGTGGAGGGATCATTGCAGACTTAGAAGAACAGTCAGTGTCAGCTTTGGGAACACTTCCGCCTTCATATCCTAATGAAATTCCACATGTCAAATTAAAAAAACTAACACTACATCTTTAGTAGTCACACATGCACCAAACTTCAAGGAAAAGGGTACATTAGAAAGTACAGTGGTACCTCGGGTTGAGTACTTAATTTGTTCTGGAGGTCCATTCTTAAGCTGAAACTGTTCTTAACCTGAAGCATCACTTTAGCTAATGGGGCTTCCTGCTGCCGGAGCATGATTTCTGTTCTCATCCTGAAGCAAAGTTCTTAACCTGAAGCACTATTTCTGGGTTAGAAGAGTCTGTAACCTGAAGTGTATGTAACCCGAGGTACCACTGTATTACACATCTCAGGAGCCACAAGGAGACACTGAATCGGCAATACAAGTTAAGTGGGTACACAAATTCAGAAAGTGGGAGCAGATCATTACAGCTTCTAGTTTTCCACCCAGCACAAATGAGTGCTTTCAATGAATATGGCCCCTAGGCATGCTGTTCCAGAACAGAAGCGTTGTTGTTCTTTCACATATACTATAGGCATACAAATCTAGTCCTCCATGCAGGACATTGAGAACAGTATTTACCCTTAGGAAAGGCATATTCTGGTTGCCAGGATATCCCACAATTGCCCACATTCATGTTTGGAAAACATCTTATGACTGCCTTTGCTAAAAACCCAAATTATAAGGTGTGCTACATTGTATCTGTGTTTTGAACCTGCTCTATTCTAAGTCACAGAAGATTGTAAACATACGTAAAACAAACCAGAAGGCTATGAAAACTTCCTTAGTAAGACATCCCCAAGGTAGTGCTTAGGACTGAATTAGGATCGAAAGGTAGGATAAATGTGAAAAAAATGGACATGTTAGTTTGTAAAGTTAAACCTTTATAAATATGCTGTTACTTCCCTGTACCATTGGGGAAAGTTTTTTAAAACTAAAATAAAATTAGTAAAAGTCTTCCTAATTTTTTGGAAAGTATCTTGTATGATGTATGGAAAAGATTTAAGTTTCAGAAGAAGGAAAGAATTAGTTTATAATGTTGTAACTTTGAGAATCAAGCTACCACTAAACCACAGGTCTATACTGAGCCCAAGCCTTGAACAGAAAATCTACACTGACACAAGCAAAGACTTCCATTTCAGAACTGGGTAAGATCTAATTTAACTATACATTGGTGTTTTTCCCCACAAAGACACTGCACAACTTTCATTAATTAGTGTCTAGGGAGAAGAATAGTGCCTTAAGTTGCAACACAAAGGTTTCCACCATGCAATATTGCTGTCCAATATAAAGCAAGATTATTGCAATGTTAACTAACAGAATAAAGGCAACTGGATAATACTGTATTCAAAGAAGAAAAGTGTACAGATTTAAGATGGATGCATCTGACAATCCAACCTAAAAATATTTTCTTTTGTTGACAACGCATTTCCCAACTGGTGTAAAATATGGGGGGATAAAAGCTGTCCACTTAGGACATTTACATAGACAAGAAGCAGTAGCTAATAAATGACAGTTGGCTATCTAACCCCACCCCAACCACCTCCCCGTTTATGGGGGAAGAGATACGCTTTGAATGAGTGCCTGCAATAGTTAAGAGCTGCTGATTCATTATGTTATGCTGACATGGCATGAAACAGCATTTTACTGAAAAAGTTACTGCCTCACTTGAGCAACCTTACTTTAAAGTGACCAGAATTTCCCCCCCATTAAATACTCAATTTATAAGCATTTGATTATTATGGCGATCCACTGCAAGCATTTTAATGACTGTTATGGGGGGGCACTATATGATTAAAAACATATTCTAGATTTTGGGATGTTGAAATGATTAATGCATATAAACTGGGGGAAATGGTTAAACTAGGACCGGGAAGAACCTTTTTTAAAAAAACAACAACAACACAGCCTGAAATCCTGCTAGATGAGCTTGGGCCAGTCATTATCTCTCAGTCTAACTTGCTTTTCAAGATTGCTATGAGAATAAAATGATGAACCGCTTTATATTTCCCTGAGCTCCTTGGTGGATATTAGTGTAATGAATATACACAGGAGATATATAGTAACATGATAAAAATGAATGTTTATTAATGTTGTAAACCAATGTTAAAAGAAATAGGCACCTTAATTGAGTCCATAACAGATCTCACAAATACACACTTGGAAAAAATCTGTATCACTAGGTACGGTGACAAATTACAGTGGTACCTCAGGTTAAGTACTTAATTCGTTCCGGAAGTCCGTTCTTAACCTGAAACTGTTCTTAACCTGAAGCACTACTTTAGCTAATGGGGCCTCCTGCTGCCGCCGCGCCGCTGGAGCATGATTTCTGTTCTCATTCTGAAGCAAAGTTCTTAATCTGAGGTACTATTTCTGGGTTAGCAGAGTCTGTAACCTGAAGCAAATGTAACCTGAAGCGTATGTAACCTCAGGTACCACTGTATGTTGTCAGACTGTCAAACTAGGAGAGATACCTGCTAAAGCCATGAAGATCACTGGGTGACCTTGGTCTAGTCACCCCCTTATTATCAAACTAGTCTACTTGTGAGGATAGAAATTGAGATGGGAGAACCATGTATACTACTTTGAGCTCTTTGAGGGCAATAATAACAAATAACATCATTTGCATTATTGTTCTGTGTAAGTGCTCTTAAACATGCAGTTCTTTTGACCAAACATCAGGAAGAACTTCCTGGAAATAAGAGCTATTTGACAGTGGAAGAGACTCCCTTGGAAAGTGATGGGACTCTTCTCCATTGGAAGCTTTTAGAGAGAGTTGGAATTTTTTTAAAGAGAGTTGTTTGGCCAACTGTCCAGGATTTTTAGCTGTCCAGGATTTTTTTGGGGGTCCCTTCCAATTCTACATTTCTATGAGTCTATGATTAATGTCTGCAACAGCAACTCTTTGCCTGTTGAGTGAACATGGCCAGGAAACAAGAGATGTTCAGTGGGCAGGAGGAAAAGATGATGGCCATTTCAGAGAGGGAAAAGAAAAAGAAGGTATTGAAGGACAAAAGAATGGGAGGAAAAATATTTATACTTGGCTACAGGAAAGCTGAGCTATGGAACTTCTCTCCACAAGGAAAATGTTGCAGCAAAGAATCAACAGAAAGTGTTGTCAATGTAATTGCTAACTGATAATTTTCAGCTTTCACAAGGAAGCCCTGGGGGGTAAAAAGTTTATGAGCCCCGGAGCTAGATAGTGGGATATGTATCAATAATTATCATGCCGGAAACTAGGAGAAGAAAACCAATGTGTTGTCACTCACTCCCTGAAAGCACCACATTTAACCCTTCTGTTGGTTGCTATCACCCACAGCGCTGCCAAATATGATGCTTGGATAGAATTGCATTGCTTCTTGAAGTGAAAGAGTTAAGAGCATTTTCTCCTTAAATTAAAGTGTTCCTAAAAGTCAGCCCCATGAAAAAAAAATACAACGAGAAGGGTTTATTTGTTTATTTAATTTAATTTATATCCTGCTCTTCTTCTCAAGGGAACCTAGGGTATACATGCATCTACTTATCAGAGAGACCCACATAAATTGGAAATTTGGGGACATCATAGCTTTTCAATGTCTGTTTCAATAATAGGTGTAGAAATCATGCTCTGTGTTACAATTTTTAAAGTCAAAGCTTCATACAATATGAGGGAGTGCACATATAAACTGATTTTTGAGAGTTCAACTTATATTTAGTTGAAGCCTTACTATCTAACCTCATTCAGGATGTAAAAAATACAAAGGTATTTTTATGCAATGCAGCTCTAATAGTAATTAGTGAAAATGTGACTGTTCTTACAAGTCTTAACTGCAACAAATGACTCCAGGGCTTTTCAAATTAGCATGCAAACTAGTATTATCCTAAAACCTCTTAATTTGAAGTGTTTGAAACCTTATCCTAACACCTCTTAATTCAAAGTGCTTGAAACTGCTTAGCTTGCAGCTGCAATCCTGTAAATTTGTGTCCACTGGGCAGAGCAATCAAAACCCCTGATGAACCATGATGGAAGATCTAGATGAGGCACAGGTGGCCCTCTGCCCAGGAGAGCTCCACTGGTGAGGAGACGCCACAGCTGTAGAGGTCCTTGATGCGAAGGGGGGGGCTGCGGGTGCAATAATAGTCTATTATTCCATTAAGCCCCGCTGCTGCCTGGCCAATATTAGGATCATCCCCTGAATACAGGGTTGTAACTTGGTATCCCAGACCCAAACAGATTACTTGACAGTTTTAGAAATTTATTTCCAATAAGTTTAAGAAGAAGCAAATTAGTATTGCCACACTAAAATGAACAACAAAAATCCGCCATTCATTAAAACTGAAATCCAATACATACAGTGGAACCTCGGGTTGCGAATGTGATCCGTGCGGGAGGCACGTTCGCAACCCGCAGTGCCGCGTCTGTGCACGCACAGGTTGTGCTTCTGCAGATGCGCAAAGCGAGATTTAGCACTTCTGCACACACGTGCGTGCCATAACCCGTTCCAGTACTTCTGGGTTCAGCACGGTGCACAACCCGAAATCGCGTAACCTGAAACATCTGTAACCCGAGGTACCGCTGTACTTACTTGTGATTAGGGCCTATTGAACTCAATGTGGATTATTTCCAAGAAAATATGTGTAAGATTCCAGGGCTGGGTATCTAAATATTAGTTTGGAAGGTGTTAGGCTTCATTTACAAATGTGCTTCTTTTCAACTGAAACATTATACTCTTACACTGTACAGAGTTAAAGTCAACTTAAAAAACAATCAGTATGCCATTGCTACCTAGTCTACAGATAATTCTGTCACCACAAATTATACCATCCCTAAACCTCATCACACTTTTGAGTTATCAGTCAATAGACTACTGTAAAACAGTAGGAAGCAACTCAGTTTGCTTTTGAGTAAGCATGTACAACTTAGAGCTGCAAGGTCTTTCTAGACTTTCTGAATTTCCCATGTGCTCCCCACACTGCAATCTGATTGAATGTGTGAAGATTACTATACAGAGTTGCTTATACTGGTCCAACACCAACACTGTAATTAGAAAAAAAACAAATAGTATAGACCATCTGGCTTCATCCAAAGACCAGCTCTTCCTTCCCAAATCAAATTGGAATCATGGAGTAGGAAATGCATTCCCTGTACAAATCTAATGCTGATTGGTGGTAGTCCTTTACTGAGTGCATAGAACCCAACCAGATATTGGCTGGTGAGGAAGAAAGGCTCCAAGTACTTCAGAATCCAATCCATACCTGGAACTTTGAACTCTCCACTTTCAGGTGCTCCACACTCTCAAGTACAACCCAACTCATCCTTTGAGAAATGCTCTAATAGCCCAATACTGAGAATATTTTAAACAAAAAGTAAGTTCCATAATGTTCAGTGGGGCTTATTCCCATGTCAACCTATTCCAACAATGTACACTATTGCAGACTAAGCACACTTTATATTCAAGGATACACAAATTTATATCCACCTCCAACTCTTTCCTTCATCCAAATGGAAAGCATGGGATTTTATATATTTCCTACTAAGCTTGAAAGGTACTCCAGTCACCTCCTGAGTGAAGTGTGACTGTGGGAGTTATGTCCCCAAGCTCTTTCCAGCTCCAAGGTAGAAGGGGTAGGTTTGTCCCTGTCCGGATAAGCCTCAGAGATGCTCCAACATCTCAGCGATTTCAGAGCCCTTCCAAAACTTAGGGTAACATCAGGGAGAACCTCTGTCCTTATTGAGAATTCAGAAGGGCAGGAACCCTTGTCAGAATGAAAAAGGTCTCATTGGTGGCAAGAGGCTTATGGTCAAATGAAATCAATGGACTTACAATGCAGGTGTTTATGATTAAGCATTATTATTTATTGGAAGAAAATACCTTATATGGGAGATCTAGGCTTTAAACTACTTGCTTCATTTACTATATTATTAGACAATTTTCCATGAAGTTCAAAGTGATACGATGATAATAATGAAATCACAAATACATTTTTAAAAATCGAAATAAAACAATCTGTCCATGATAAAACAGTAGCCAAGACCACTCTGTGCAGAATTTGGAGCTGAAGGTGATAAACAAAAACAAGTTAATTTTTGCCTTCAGAAGTTTACTAAATACAGGTTTAGGCAGGCCTCAAAGAGGTTTCCTTATCTGTTATATTTTCTGTTGTTTTATGGGATTTGAAATGAACACTTTATATTTGTTTCTAAATCTTGTAACAGAACAAGCATAGCCAACATGCATTCAGAGGCACAAATTCAAACGGGGGAGGGGAGGGAGGAATGATATGAAATGTAGTTGGGCTTGTTTATCTATTGTGGTACAGCTAGACGCTTATGTCATGCTGCCAAGAAAAATAAAGACAACAAGAGGAGGAAAGAAGGCACAGCTTATTGTTTACCTTACCTTGGCAGTTTTTCATGAGCCTAGAGATATTTTGGAAAACACAATTAAGCTTTTTGTTTAATTCAGGTAATACATTAGTGGTGTAATATATCTGTAACAGACATCGCCGAAGTGCAACCAAGGGGACATATTAAGATCTCATTCAAGTACTGTACTGGCCTTTTAATCTACTATGTTCACCTGTCAGAAGCAGCTGCTAAATCCAATGGGTTTCTCCCCCATTACAAGTAGACATGTTTGGCTACTTTCTTTATAATTTGAAGCGTTCCACTTCACAATACTAACTCAACTTCTTGACATCACATTTTATCAATGTCCCTAAGAGGAACACTCAATGTTTCAGACTAACCTCATGATCCTGTCCACAGAAGATATGGGATCAGCTGATCCTGCACATGTTTACTTGGACACAGTTTCTACAATGATTTACCGTTAAGGGTATGTTCACATTAGCAGCTTAAACACAGTGAAATAAGTTCTCCCTGCTGTGTTTCTAACCATATGTGCATAGTGTTGCTCATACCACAGAGAGGGGGTAAGGATGTCTTCACATGACATGCATGACCTTTTTGGCTTCCATGCCCTTGCAACCCACCCCCCAAAAACTCATGTTCATGAAGCTGTCATCTGCACACGTGCGCTCTTCCGTGCATGTGTGATGGTTGTCTTAAATGTTCACATTACCATTTATCCCTTCCAACTCTCCAATTCTTTGATTCTATTATTCTATTCCAACCCAGCTGGATTTTAGCTGGTTTGAAGAAAAACTCATCAGTGTTTTTCAGCAGAAAAACAGCAGTGTTTCTCAAGAAAATAATGGATCAATGTACATACTGCTTCCAAAATTGGCAGTGGGAGAACACTGCACACTGGATTCAGAGCAAGCGATAAAGTGAACGTACCTTAAGTGTGTTAAGGGTTGCATCCTTCAAGCTGCACTTTAAGCACATTCACTCAATGCTGCCAGTGATTTGGATTGCTTTTATTTTGTATTTGTAATTATTTGTTTGCTGCTTGCACTTTTAAAAAGTGGCTTTTAAAACTACTGTTCACCACCCACAGAATTCTAAAATCGCTATTAGGCCAATCACAATGCCACAAAGCACAGGCAAAGCATTTCAGGTCTGATAGTAAACCAAGTGTGGCTGGCAGGAAAGCCATGCGAGTGCATCGGGCACAAAGTCTTGAGATGGAATGTAGCAGGAGAAAGCAGGCGTTCAAATGAGGCTGTCAGGTAGGCTTAAAAGGTTGCATTCCGTAGGCCCAGGCAATGCGAGTTATTCCGACGTTATTCAAACGGAAGACATAATAAAACCACGTCCAACTAAGCCCAAACGAACCTTATTCTTAGTCAGAGTGTCTAGCTTTAGACTGCAGTAGCCTGAGGTGGTTCGTCCACAGCAAACCAACCTAGCTCCTTGTGACTCTCTCTGTGGTCAGCGGGTCTTATTGTCAGTCCGGTTTACAGGAGAAAAGGCACACGGACTGCCCCCCCCCCAGGTCCGGCAACCGGACTCTATAATCACAAGGCCGAAGCAGCAAGAAGGATGGGTCTCTGCCCCGAAGAGACTACACGGGGTGCGGGGCGGGGAAGGACACTGGCGGAGCCACCGCGAGGCATCCAGAGTCCGGCGAAGGCGCTTCTATGCCTGTGGCCCGGACACCGCCGCCACCACCCGCCCCTCGAGCCACTTCCCAGCCTCGGCTCGAAAGGGCAGCCGAGCCTCGTCCTCGCCCTGCTCCACTCCCCACCCCCCACCCGGACGCGGAGGAAAACATGCAGACTCTGGGGAGCCTCTCGCGAGTTGTGCGCCTGCGCTCTCGCCCTCCCTGCCGCGCTGTCCCCGCAACCCGCCGCGCCGCCCACGAGCCCCGCTCCGCCCGCCTGCCCGCGCGAGGGTTTCTCCCTCCACCTCCGCCCCAGCGCCGCCGGCCATCTTACTCACCCGCAGCAACCTCAAGCGAGCCTGAGCCACTTCGACCCCCTGCCTCGGGGCCAGCTCCGCCGCGGCTTCTCCAGGCGCTGCGCTGCCCGACCACAGTCAGGTGACAACATCACAGCCGCCTCCACGAGCTCTTCGCCGATTGGGCGCCGGTGCCAGCTGACGCTCGCCCTCCTCCCTCGGCTCCCTCCTCCCAGTCCCGCCTTGGTGTCCCCGCCTACTCCCTCAGCTGCGCATGCGCTCCCTCCCGTGAAGGCGTACGTTGACGTTCCGAGCGAGGCCCCCTCCTCCCCGCTGAATGCGAGGGAGCGGAAGTCGGTCCCTCTCTGCTGCGCTCGTGTGGGGAGAAGTGTCGTCTCGAGGCATTTCGCCGCCTGAGGCGGAGCGGCAGATGTTGCCTTCCATAGTAGTACCCAAGGCTGGTCGAGTTAGTTCGGCACCCGAGGCGGAATAATGCCGCGAATGTTTCTTCCCCCGACCCTGACACCTAATAAATACAGTATTAAACAGCTAAAAATTTGCTGCTCTTAACAGAGCTACAGTTCCCAGCACCCTTAAACTATGGTTCCCATAATTCTTTGGGGAAAGCTATTATTGTTAAGGTGACAAGAGTACTTTTAATTACTCAGCGGATGGGTAGCAGCAGCAGCTCAATCTTTGTGCGTGCAAGAGTACTATCCAATACACAATAAAATAATACACAATAAAATAATAAGTAATGGGTCTGTGATGCATATTTTGCTTCAAGTTCAGGTCCGAATGATTTACCCAGATTTTTCTATTCTGCTTTTAGTCTTCAAATGTAAGACGTTACAATGATAAAAAAGAAGAGGAAAACACTTTAATTATACTATTTGCTCTCCCACAGAGCAGCAAAACAATGCCATCCAGTCATTTCATAACTGAAATGTGTGACAAAATATGCAAGTCTTGCATTTTCTTCTTAATAGTTTTGAAGTGGATTGATTGATGGACCTCTTCTGGCAGCTTCCTTCAAAGCCTTTGAGAAGGAAGGAGCTGTGCAACAGCTACTTTTTCTGTGGCAATTTATAGCTATTTATATGAACATATATCAGTATGTACTCTACAAATAATCTAATTCATCAGAAGCCTAACATTTGCTGGATGGCAGTTACTATGATCAACTGAAGTAAAGGCCAAAGGATAAAGAATATAAAATACATGTTTTGATTGGCCCACACCAACAGAAATAAGCTTTATCTGTACCTAATAAAAATAGCTACTGTACAGGTCACATATCGTTCATTGCCTATAACGTAGTTCACAGGGAATTATTTTATTTCACTTTTTTGCGTATGTTGCAGTGTTCCAATTAGAAACTTATGTCATAGCAAATAAGTGCTGTGTTCCTTGTTCCAAAATAGTGGTGCCAAATGGAAAGGTATTTTTTTTCAATGTTGCTTTTTATGTCAAAGTGTTGGAGACACAATAAAAGCTGAACCTGACATTCTCTCTCTTCTGCACCATTTTTACAGGTATAACATCCCTCCCTTGCTTGCATCTGGTCTTCTCAAGATCTTGCATTCATTAAACTTAGTTTCAAACAGAACAAGGTCCAAGCCATGTCTTCTTTCTTCCTTCAGATTCATATTATGTGAATTCTTCAGTTTATACTGTATGGCAGAAATGCACTAATAAAACTAGGTGGAAAGCACATACGATCAGTCTAATTAGGAGAAATAATAATCATGATTCAACTGTGTATTTGTCCATTGATGATGGTGACCATTGATTCTGCTATAATTAGTACTATTCCAGACCTTTCACACACAAAACAGCTGCTGGTTCAGAGTTTACTCTGTTTAATTCATCAAGCCCCTAAATATTTGGAATGATTTCAGTTCTTCCTTTTTTAAAAAAAATAATGGGGCCACTTCCATTGGCCTTCCTAGTATCTCACTTCTCAAATTATATCAGCAATAAAGCTTGGCACATCAGGCAATTGACCAGTCCAATATTGACAACAGGCTACCTATTATTTTATTGCTGTCAAATACAGTATTGTCAAGTAGAAATTGATTGTGTACATGTCAGTTTCCTTTTTTTATTTCGTGGTATGATTTGTTAGCAAAGGCAGGAGGAAAAACAGCATGGCCTCATGGGTGGAAGACCTGGATTCAGATCCATAGTCATTTATTTTTATAAAGTTGCCTTGAGACTTTTTTTTTAAAAAAGTGACTAATTAATGAAATTAATAAAATAATAATAATAATTAAGCCCACTAGGTGCCGATGGGCTAATCACACACTTTCAGTTTAATATACCTCACAGGGACTTTGTGAGGATAAAACGGCAAGAACCTCGGGTTCTTCAAAGAAAGAAAAAGGAGTAACTCCACATTCCATATTCAATTAAAAATAAACTGCCAGTGGAGGGAGCTCACATGCTGCAGTGCCACAAAATCCAGTCCATAAGTAGAGGAGATGCTGGAATTATTATCCAAAGATTAATAATTAAAAAGAAGGCCAGTTTAACTGGAATTCTGAGTTCACTCTGAATAAAGAGCTCAGCATGAGTGTAAGACATCAGAGGCAGCCCAAGTTGAGTAGGAAAGCCCCACTGGTTCTTGCCAGACCTCTTCTCCAGAGAGGCTGATGTGAACGGGAATCCCCCTGCAGTAATGAACATACGACCAACGAGTTATGTATGTGCAGGCCTAATAATCTTCCATACCCATTGCCACATTTAATCCAGGCAACACCTCAAATTCAGCCTTGTCAGTGATGGCTTCCATTCAGTACGCATGACCCCACTTTAATTAAAAGCAAGCACCCTCTTTTGTATTTTCTGAGATCCAAATTCACCTGTGGTGGGCACAGGGACATTCCTTGAACGTGATCTGAGTGTTTAAGGTGCCCATGTGACTCCATGCAACTCTGAGGTTTGCTACCAGGATCAGTTTGCCAACTATCTTATTGGTACCACCAATTTGACAGGTGGAAGGAAACGCTGTCAAGCTGAATTCATTAAAACACAGGTTGAGAACAAGACAAATACAGTGATACCTCAGGTTAAGTACTTAATTCGTTCTGGAGGTCCGTTCTTAACCTGAAGCATCACTTTAGCTAATGGGGCCTCCTGCTGCCGGCGCGCCACTGGAGCACAATTCTGTACTCATCCTGAAGCAAAGTTCTTAACCTGAAGCACTATTTCTGGGTTAGCGGAGTCTGTAACCTGAAGCGTCTGTAACCTGAAGCATCTGTAACCCGAGGTACCACTGTAGTAATTTTTTTCTAAGCCACATTAGAACATATTAACACATTTTTGCTACACTTTTAACTTGGGTTATTATGATTCTTTAGAATGACACAGCAAAATGGGTTCACCTTAAAGGTTCAGAAGGAAGATATTGCTGAAAAAAACAAAATGTTAGTTTCACAATGACTGTGCTGTTACGCTTTACTCTAGAAATTCATAATTTTCATCCTGAGAACATAACAATAGAGGACACTTTATTATTATTATTGAAATGTTTGCTGACAAACCAGACTATTCCTAAATTGCAATACCAGGGGGTTCAGGAAGCCAGAACAGGGGAAGGTAGAAGGGTGCTACAAGCTGAGGGAATACTGTTGAATATTGCCTTTTTACAGCATTAAAATGTGACTGAAATTACAATAGCAGAGAGCTGAACTAAACAGATTGGAAGAGGGCACTGCTATCTGTCCAAGCCAGATTCCATTCTATTCCCACAAGTCTGAAGCCACATGGAATTGGGGCAATAGGCTCCACCCCAAACTTCACACACATCTTGTGCAGAGTTTACACATGCACAGTACGCATAGTTTTTCTCCACATTGTTTGAAATCCTGAGTTTACACATATCTGAGGCATTCCACTGTTATATCAGTCATGGGAGTAGGTGTCCAAGAAGGCATCGTTTCCCATTCCTCCCCGTATCTGTCATATGCAGCATTGTTTCCATTTCACTGCCATTCACCTTCTGTCAAAAACAACATTGGACTCAGCTAGACTGGTAAAGAAAAAGCAATTTATGTGTGTTGTATATGCGATATAACATTGTGCCACCAGATGGTGATGTGGAGTCCCGTTTTCTCTACCCATTTTCTTTGTTTAAATTTAGTAAAGGTAAAGGGACCCCTGACCGTAAGGTCCAGTCACGGACGACTCTGGGGTTGCGGCGCTCATCTCGCTTTATTGGCCGAGGGAGCCAGCGTACAGCTTCCGGGTCATGTGGCCAGCATGACCAAGCCATTTCTGGCGAACCAGAGCACCGCACAGAAACGCCGTTTACCTTCCCGCCAGAGCGCTACCTATTTATCTACTTGCGCTTTGACGTGCTTTCAAACTGCTAGGTTGGCAGAAGCAGGGACCGAGTGACGGGAGCTCACCCTGTCGCGGGGATTCGAACCACTGACCTTCTGATCGGCAAGCCCTAGGCTCTGTGGTTTAGACCACAGCACCACCCACGTTTACATTTACAACACTTTAAACTGAAACACTTATTTGATGTGTCTAGATCCCACCACTGTCTTGCTGGCTGCTATGGTGAAAATATGTAGCTTATGTAAATTATGCAGTTAATTACGTTGCTTGCCATTATGTTGTTCTACCCCCTACATTTCAATGTAAACAGAATGCAAATGGAGTGATAACACAATAAATGACGTACCATTTGCATACTGAAAGCAACAACAAGAGCAAATACCAATTGTATTCACTGCATTGATTTCTGTTTTGAATATGGTGCAAATAAGGTCAAGCTTGCGAAAATTTATCACTTGCCCGATAACAAATGTTGGAAATGTAAAGAAACTGAAGGTACATTTTTTCACCTTTGGTGGACGTGCCCAAAGATTAAGGCTTTCTGGGAAATGATATATAATGAATTAAAAAGGTATTTAAGTATACCTTCCCCAAGAAACCAGAGGCCTTTCTCCTGGGCATAGTGGGCCAAATGGTGTTAAAAAAGGATAGAACTTTCTTTATGTATGCAACAACAGCAGCAAGAATACTCATCGTAAAGTATTGGAAGACACAAGAACTTCCCACGCTGGAGGAATGGCAGATGAAACTTATGGACTATATGGAATTGGCGGAAATGACTGGCAGAATCCGTGACCAGGGAGAAGAGTCGATGGAGGAAGACTGGAAGAAATTCAAAGACTATCTTCAGAAACACTGCAAAATTAAGGAATGTTAGAGTGATGTTGGATTGAAAATAAGTGGT